GAAAGAAAGAACGAAAGAAAGAACGAAAGAAAGAACGAAAGAAAGAAAAACAGGCAACGAGAGCAAGGGGAGGAGATAAAGAAAAGGAAGGAGATAAAAACTAGATCTTAGGGAACTCCAGAGACAACAGTGCTGAGCTGGGAAGTAAGGGAATATTAGAAGATTTCTTTGGCTCTGACTGAATATTAGAGTTGAGACATCTGCAATAGTTGATGTGATCCAGTCAGATTTATAATGGGCGGCTGTAACAGTTGTTCACAAATATGTCCAAGTCTGCACTATTTTGGAGTTTAGGATGACAAGATGAGGAGGGCTATAGCATGGGGAAATGAGAAGAATGCACAAGAGTAAAATTATTTTTAAAAGTACAAAAACTAACATTTTGCTCGCAATAATAAATGTTTTTATTTACCAATCTGAGAAAAATAAATTGATTAGAATTCAAATATATGTAAAAGCTAACACAGGTGTAGATTATATTAGTTTCTGTTTTACAGAAGAACATAAAGGGAGCTTGTGGTGCAGTGGTAGCGTCCCTACCTCTGGGCCAGGAGCCTTGGGTTCAAGTCCCACCTGCTCCAGAGGAGAGTAATAATATTGCTGAACAGGTTGATTCGAAAGTCAACACAAACATACACCAGTCTCCAACAGAAAATAAGATTTATACAAATAAAGCTATTTGATTTGTCCTTTAATATGAATTAATCTTGAAATAACTTTGAAAATCAACCAACTATATTATTAGAGGCTGAAGACATGGTTTTTAATAGTTTTACAGAAAATATGCTTGAAGTCTACCAGCACACTACGCATATTTTGGCATTCAGCTTACAGAATTACAATGCTGAGCTAAAAAAAATGAATTTGGAGAGCTGTGGACTTCAAATATCACGTAAAAACATAGAAGTACAACCAATGCCTAATAACCACAGCCACTTTAAAGGTCTTCGTGGTAAACTGAATTTTCTCTGTCTTCATTCCATCAAAACAAAAATTCCTCAATGGTTGAATGATGAGCTTCATTCTTTCCTTTTCAAAATGAATTGATTAAGCTACTATGCTATTAAATGTTCAAAGTACCTGCCAGCTACTATGCTATTAAATGTTCAAAGTACCTGCCAGCTACTATCTGATGCCTCTTGAGTGTTGGCGAGTAATCGTTGAAGGGTGGCCAACTTCTGTTCCAGCATCTGTTCTCGATGTAAGGCCTCCTGACATTCAGAAAATCAAAATGCTTCAATGTATTAGTAGAACAGACAATGTTAAATCAAAAACAGTTTAACAGAAGTAACCTGAACTGTATGGTGAGCTAGCATTCAATTTGGTCCATGTCACAGAAGTAAGTAGTTAGAAGCGGCAAGGCACTCAATTTTTCTGGTCGTTCTATTTCACCTAAAGAATACTAACATTTGCAATACTTGCTGCAGTAACTGACTCACAAACTCAGATTCACAAATCCATAATTTCCAGCTGATGATTGATAAGAAATGCTAAAAAAATATAGTTTTACCTCCATTACGACTGTAATTCCTGGTCATCACAGACTTAATTTGTTTGGCTACTATATGCAGCCATTCATTCATCCTGTACAAATACAATTGCCCTAACTAGCTTAATAGCTTGAGATTTGCAAATCAGTGTATTCTTAATTACTTCTACTTTGTACTCTCCTGCTCAAACCACATTCTTATGTTGACAGTGGCAGCAGTTTAACTAACTTTATATATTTTCTTCTTGAATTTGCCTATAACCATTCATGATTTGAGTCAAAACTTATTTATTTTTGATACGCTACTTGTGTCCTATTTCTGCATCTTGGTCAACAATCACTATTTGTTTATTAATATTTACTAAAGCATCAGTCCATCTTTGCTAATCTGCACCTCACCTTACTGTCTATTTGAAATAATACCCCATTAGCTGCATATTTAAATATATAATGAACTGTGAGATAAAATTTTGTGCCTGCAATAAATGAACACATTGATGACTAATGGTTCATTTAGTGAACAGGAAAAAGACTATACATTTAAATATTGTTAATTGAACACAGTTAAACAAACTGTATTACCAAAACAGGAAAAAGTCACTGCATCAGCAGACTTTACCTGCAAATACTGAGAGAGCTGGAATAGTTCCTGAGAGTACATACTTGGAGAATTAGCAGCCACCTGGCAAATTGAAATATACATTTACTCAATATAATCATTCCAAAGTATTATATCATAGATGAGGTTACAAAACAGTAAAGATTTCCAGAAACAAATTGTCCCATTTGTCTGAATTGTGAGAGAAATCGCTCTTGGGAAATGAAGGGCAGAGAACAGGGGATCAATGAGGAGTCAATTAGTGACAAAATGAAAACAACTACGTTCTTAGAAGAGATCTTGAAGAACATCCAAGATTAAAATATGTCGAATAGAAACGAAATTTTTCAGATACTGGAAATCTGAAACAAACACAGAATGCTAGAGAATCTTCAGTTCTGAAAAATATTAATAATGGGCTCAAAACGTTAACTGTTTCTCTCTCTCCACAGATGTTGCCAGACCCGCTGACATTTTCCAGCATTTAATGTTTCTTTCTAAAGCATGTTGGCTCATAAGTAACTAGATTCCCCATTTTGCAGTGGAGTAAAAAAAAAAGATTAAAATTCATAAAAAGTTTCTTTCCTCAGGTTCTTTATACTAAAGTGTACAAATGGAAAAAAAAAAAAGAGAAATTGGGCTGGATTTTCAATCTGGTGTCAGGTACCAGGCATCCAGATAATTTCCAGTGCCTGACGTCAGCATGCATCAGCGCCACTGCTATAAGGCTATTTTCCAAATGCAAAACAGGTAATTGACTTGTTGTGATTTAGAAACCCAAAAAGAGGTGCCATGTGTGGATTGATGATGGAATATAAAAAAGAACCGTTTCAAAAAGGCTAAAGGTATAAGCCTTCATTGCTGACGGCATGTTGCAGGGCGGTGTTCATGGGTAGGACGAGCATAGCCCGTTATCAATTAGTGGTGTCAAGGTTTTCTGATGGCTCTTGAAGCACTGACGGTGATCATGGTATATCAGAGAAAAAGATTCAAAACCTAATGCTTCAACAGGCACAGCTTCCTTTGGCACTGTTCTGTCAGTTGCAAATAACCAGCTTGTCGGAGTTACAAGATCTTGGGTACCATCTTTGTCGTGATTGGAATGAGGGCCAGTTGAGTCTCATTCACTACAAGATCCTTAATTGGGGCTGTTAACCTGGGCAATTCAGAGAGCCCTGGCTGACAAACGTAATGCTCTACGTTGGCCGGTCAGAGTCTATGCATTGAGTACACGTAAATACAGGGTCACTTGGTAACAGGATTCTGGCCTGTGTGCAGTAATTTCAATCTTCCTTGTCTTGCAGACTCTCTGGTCTCTTCCTGATCAGAATAGATGTGCTGATGTTCCTTCTTGCTACTGTATCCAATATCAAAGTAACCTGCTGCCATCACCAATCCAAGAGCTGGATCTTATTTGTTCAGCAGAACTTCATGTCCCAACCTTTCCTCCTAAGTGATGACAGAAGTGTGACATCTTCAAAGGATGCTAAACCCTCACTGGCAATAAGCACAAACCTTTCAACACCAGCAATTCAGTGTCATTGGTTGAGCAGACAAACCTCATTCTGCCTCTTTTAAATTAATTGACCAGGCCATCCATAAGCTTTCAGATATTTTCTAATCAACATGTTCACAGAAGATATTACACGCCTCCAGAGCAGGGGAGACTTGAACCTAGGCCTCTTGGCTCAGAGGTAGGGGTGTTTCCACCGAGCCACAACAGCCCATCCATTAGTGGATATTGGACCACTGCAGAAGTGGTCATGGGGAACAAAGAACTGGCAAAAGAATTGAATAGGCACTTTACATCAATCTTCACATTGAAAGAGACAGCAGCTGACCAAAACTTCAAGACAGTCAGGGGACAGAGGCGAGAGTAGTGGCCATCACTATGGAGAAGGTGCTGAGGAAGCTGAAGGAGGTAGGTGAGGAGATCGTGGAGGCTCCGACAGTGATCTTTCCGGAATCACTGACGTCAGGGAGGATGCCAGAAGACAGGAAAAGAGTTAATGCAATGCCCCTGTTTCAGAAGGGAGAGAGTCAGAAAACAGGGTATTTTAGACTGGTTAGCCTGATCTCAGTGAGCCTGATCTTACAGTCCATTATTAAGGATAAGATTGCAGAGTACTTGCAAGCGCATGGTAAAAACAGGGCTAAGTCAGCACTGCTTTGTCAAGAAGAGTTCATTCCTGAAAAATCTGTTAAAATTCTTTGAGGAGTAATGAGCAAGTTAGACAAAGGAGAATGAGCAGACATTATCTATTTGGATTTCCACAAGACCCTTGACAAGGTGCCACACAGGAGGCTGCTAAGTAAGATAACAGCTCAAGGTGTTAGGGGCAAGGTACTGGCATGGATAGAAAATTGGCTGATTGGCAGAGGGCGGAGTGTTGGATAAATGGGGCTTTTTCAGGATGGCAGTGAGAGACCAAGACAGTCATTGTTGGGACCCTAACTATTCGGTTGTACGTTAACAATCTAGACGAAGCAAATGAGCGTATTGTTACTAAATATGGATAGATAGAGGGGCAGATAGTGTTGAGAAAACAGGGAGGCTGCACATGGACTTGGAGAGGTAGCAAATTGGGCGGAGAAGTTGCAGATAGAAAGTGTGAGGTTATGCATTTTGATAAAAAGAGGGGTTGACTGTTTTCTAAATAGGGAAAAGCTTCAGAAATCTGAAGCATGACAGAACTTAGAAATACAATCTCAGGATTCCCTTAGGGTTAACATGCGGGGTCAGTTGGTAGTAAGGAAGGCAAATATAACGTTAGCATCCATTTCAAGTGAGCCAGAATACAAAAGGAAGGATGTATTGCCGACGCTGAATAAGGCACTGGTCAGACTGTTTGTAATATTTTGAGCAGTTTTGAAACCCATATCTGAGGAAGTATGTGCTGGCCTTTGAAGGGGTCCAGAGGAGGTTTATAAGAATAATCTTGGGTATGAAGGGCTTGTCATATGAGAAACAGTTGAGGACTCTGGGTTTGTCCTGGGTGGAGTTTAGAAGGATGAGGGGGATTCTCATTGAAAATTACAGAATACTGAGAGGCCTGGATAAAGTGGACATGGAGAAGAGGTTTCCAATGGTAGAAGAGACTAGGACCTGAGGGCATAGCCTCAGCGCGAAGGGATGACTTTTAGCACCGGGATGAGGAGGAATTTCCTCAGCCAGCGGGTGGTCAAACTGTGGACTCATTGTGCTGAAGGCTGTGGAGGCCAAATTGTTTACTGTATTTTTGACAGAGATAGATAGTTTCTTGATTAGTAAGGGGATTATGGGTTACAGGATAATGGTGTTCAGAAGACAGAAGAATGATGTTGAGAAACATATCAGCCATGATCGAATGGCAGGGCAGACATGAAAGACCAAATGGAATAATTCTGCTCCTATATCTTATGGTCTTACAACTGGAAATTCAAAACTGTTCCTGGGGCCTGCTCAAGAACTAACTAACAGTGAGATCTAGGAGTACTTAATTGGAGCAGAGAGAGTTCCAGAATACTCAGCACCATCCCTATCCCCCTTTTGAAAATCAGATCACATTTTGGAGATGGTGGGATCCAGCACTGCCTTCCAGAAGTTCAACTTCCAAAGTCCAAAGTCCAAAGTCCAAAGATGTGCAGGCTAGGTGGATTGGCCATGCTAAATTGCCTGTAGTGTTCAGGGATGTATAGATGAAGTGGGTTATAAGGGCATGTGTCTGGGTGGGATGCTCCAAGGGTCGGCGTGGACTTGTTGGGCCAAAGGGCCAGTTTCCTCACTGTAGGGGTTCTATGATTCTATGATCTATGAATTTTTAAATCCACATTAGTCGCAACGCAGCCGCATTTGAAAATCCAATCCATGATATAGGCCAGCTAGAATATCTACAGTATTCTTACAATTAATAGTTTACTTGTAAAACTAAGAGCAGAATTAGGCCATTCAGTCCCTTGAAACTGCTCTGTCTTTCAAAAAGATCATGACTGATTTGATTTTGTGTTTTAACTTCCACATTCCCACTACCTGATAACTTTTGACTCCCATGCCAAATAGGAATGTAATCACCTCTGCCTTAAAAAAATTACATGATCCCGAGAGACAGTGGGGGCAGCAGTTTCATAAAGCACCCACAAAAGTGGGGACAGCAGTAAATGAGAAATCAGCAGCTTCTCAAGTAACGTCTGAAGCAACGGCTTCATAAAAAGTGCAGACACGTGAAAGATGCCCAGGGATGGCAGGAGATTAAAAATGGTGGCAGACAGTCACTTCAAGCTGTTTACACCTGTCACAGGAAAACAAGTAGGTGATTTGCGGCTATTTCTTCTTTGTTTTTCGACTGGCCATTTGGTTTAAATCAGGAGATATCATTGAAGCTAAAGAGCACAGTCAGAAATAAAACAAAACCTTTAAAATAGTTAACATCCAAATTAATTAATTACATAGAATAGAGATGGCTGGGCATGTGATGTGTTGCAGCTGTAGTATTTGGGAACTGATAGATATCAGTGCGATCCATGGTGGCATCTACAGCAAATATTTGCTGCACGAGGAACTTCAGCTTGGAGTTGTCAAGTCCAAGTTGTGGAAAGTCGTGTTTCAAGGAGGTAGTCACCCCCTTAAGATTAACTACATCAAATGTGGTCCATGGTCAAGAGCATGAGTGACTGAGAATTGGCAGATATGGAGCTCCAGAATTTAGATATGGAGAAACTTTAGTCTTATCTATTAAGGTACAAGGTTCTTGAACCTAGTATGGGCGAGGGCACAAACTGCAGGATGAGCGAACACAATACTGTGGTCCACAGCACCATTCAAGTAGGGGCAGAAAAGAGAAATGCAGTATTAATAGGGGACAACACAATTAGAGGAATAGATACTGTTCTCTGCAGCAAAGACAAAATCCCAAATGCTGTGTTGTCTACTCGGTGTCAAGGACTGCACCTCTCTGAGCTGGAGAGGAACTTGAAATGGGAGGGGCAGATTTCAATTGTCATAGTCCACATAGGTACCAATGACATAGACAGGACTAGGAAAGAGATTCTGCTGAAGGAGTAATAGCAGCTCGGGGCTAAATTAGAAACACAACCATAAAGATAATAATCTCCATAT